TTCTTGGAGTTGAGTTCTTGTGAAATAAAGTATTTGTGGTTGGATTCCTGTAGCATTTGGAATCTTGGAAAAATGTTTTAAAATGATTTTTCTATGATTTTTACAAGTTAATAAGAAACCAGTTATTGGTATATTCGGGACTGTGTTTATGTGCTGAAAGTATGACCTGTTTTGGTGGATCTAATGTGATTATATGTGATGGTGTTCAACATGAAATTCATTGGAGATATTTGAGTTAAGATTCAGTGAGTTTTGGTATCTTTAAAAAAGGAGGTGAATTGGATTTTATATGATTTTTGTAAGTCAGCTGTGCATGAAGATTCCAGAATTTATGGCAGTGTATATGTGTTCAATGCATGATCTATTTTCGAGTAGCAAATGTGTTTATATGAGAAAATGATCAACATGAAAGATGTGGCATTTTAAGTCAGCTTCCTGATTATTTTAGAATTTCATGAATTGAAGGTCTGTAACTTGAGATATTTAGGAATTTCTAAAGTGATATAGGTGATAAGTTATTTTCATGCAGGTTTCTTATACTTAATGTTTTATACTTAAACTCGGTGATGATGACCTTATTTGCTTAAGTAGTTTTCATCAAAGTTGTTCCTTGTTGAGTTGGCTTTCCAGTGGATTTTGAATCTTGTTGATATCATGCCTGAAGCTTTAGATATTTAGAATTTTCTTATATGCTGCAAGTTGTGTTGTTTTCAAAATCGCTGCGCGGGTTAAGTTTCGAAAAACTTATGTTATGTTTCTGAAAATGAAATTCTTTTTATGTAATTGCTTATGTGACTTATATGGGCTGAGTTTGTTTATGTGTTGAGGGTGTGAACCTTACGTGCCTTAATTATGATGATCTTAGTGTCGGATAGACGTTTATAGGCTATTTTAATAATCATAGGTGTTGACGAGCTGTGTTCTCGACTTTTTTCCTGATTTTTGTGATTTCTCTATTCTCCGGAGACCGGGTGGGTTTTATTTATGAAATTGCTATGCCATAATTAATTATCTTTGCTTTTGGAATGATCAATGTATGCATGTGAACCATGTAGCCTTCGATGTGAGCCGTGTCGGCCGTCAAACGATTATTCCCGTAACTATAGAACGTACCCGATGGGTAGTCTCCTTTATTTATGTATGGCAGACCAGGACATGAGCCTTGGGGCTGGTGATCCCCGTTTGTAAGACCTAGGCGTAGGCCTTGGCCTTCGGGGTGGATTTACTCATACTGTTTGGGCATCGATTGTATGACCCGAAGGGCATTCGATACGTGTATCAACAGTTGAGCCTCCTAATGTTTGGGCATCGATTGTAAGACCCGAGGGGCATTCGATACGTGTATCAAACAGTTGGATTTACTCCTGCTGGCTGGCATCGATTGTAAGACCTGAGGGGCATTCGATACGTGTATCAGCAGCGGTCTATTGATATAGTTGTGCAGATGAGGTTGACTCTGGGATAGGAGATGGGATATTAATTGATTTGTGTTCATACTACGACCATACCTGCTTTACTGTTTCATATTGTGATTATTGATTATTGCATAGTGGTGAGCACCACGGTTTCCAATTTTGCTCACCCCCACCTGCTCTTTATGGATGCAAGTTAGTATATACGGGCACGGCGGAAGGACGCGAGTGGTGGTCTTTTTACTGATAATGCTTCCGCTTTTGAAATTGCTCGTTATCATTTATGCATTTCTGATTACTGTTGAATATTGAATTATCGATAGGGAGTGTTCTCTCTAGTTATATTGAAATTGATGAACCCGGTTCGGGCGTTGACATTATTTGATGAACCCAGTTTGGGTGTTGACCAATTTGACGAACCCGATTGGGAGTTAAGATTATTAGTATTATTGATGATTAGTTGTCAAATTAGTAGTGTTACCAAAGTTTATGATATAAAATTTGAATATTTTATACTGATTTTCGTCAAATAAAAGTGGGGCGTTACAAAGATTGTGTGAGCGGTCGACCAAGTCGTCCGTGGATCTTGAAAGTATATTGAGATGAGAGGGTGGATATGGAGGGCCGGCTGTGTCTCCCATCTGTTTGGGCAGAGAAACGAGATAAAAAGTGATGTGTGAGAGGGTTAATATGGACGACAACGTGAATTATTTTACGATCCAGATGCGCGATGGATCCCTCATTCTAGCGCCATTCTGTTGGCGTTTGTGGCGTCTGTCTTCATCAACAAGACCACTGAAGTGATGGTGTGGTATTCATGATGTGATTTATTGTTTTAATATGATTTGGCAAAATGATAAGGAGAAAAAACAGAAGTAGCAATACTTGCCATGAACTCCACCTTATGCTCAGGGGGAGAAGGGCAAAAATCCACATAATGCCCTAAGATGGGGTTTCACCCTAGGGTCGGAGCACTGTGGAATATAATGTGTTGCTTCTAACTGTTTCTAATGGTTTTGACTTTCAAGAACACAATGGGATAGAATGTGTTGCTTCTGACTATTTCTTATAGCTGCCCATATCTTGTTTGTGTATAGTTTGCCAGTGTTTTTTCTTAAAAGCAAAGTAATATTTTGCAACTAGGAAAAGCAGCAAAAGAAGCGAAGCCGTCAAAATAGATTAAAGGCCTATGATCAATCATCCCTCTCTAAGTACCTACTTGAAGTAAATTCTCCCACAGAGTCGAAGCTTGTTTAAACAAGAAATAAGTTAGTGTGAGTACCAAATTATATAGTACTTGGAATTATTGTTCTATCATATGTTCTTTACTTGTGCACACTCTATTGCTTCTCAGGCTGAAAGAGGGTAACCAGATGAAGACTGTTATAAACCATTCAAATTTTCAATCGGATCCTTTTGGTGCCATTTATCAACAGTTGCAGAATACACACCCTGTTGTGGACAAGAAGCCCAAGAGAAAGGATGATAAAATGAGAAAGAAAAACTTGAAACAGAAATCATCAAAGGGCTTACAATTGATGTAGATTTAAATTATTGGTTTTGATGTCTCCTCAAATACCAACTTTGGGTAAATTCCGATACCGATATCTCTCGCAATTATCTATGTGTTGCACAATTGTGATGCATGAATATAGCAAGATTTTATGACTGGGATGTGTAATTGAAATTGTCATCTCATCATAGATTATGTGTTAGTTACAATGAAAGGAAACTTCTTCAGTTTATATATGAGCCTGTGAGCCTGTTCTGGAGTTTGCTTTACTGGGCAGGATAGGATACAAATGCCAGACCCAACGCCCGAAGAGTTGGTGTCACTCGATTTGCTGCCAAAGCTTGTAATAGGAGATGTAAACTGCCAAAGCTTGTCCCCCTGTCGGGAGATGCCGAGCTTTTGTTTGTTTCAAATTGCACTTATTCATCAGACATGGAGACGCGTGTGTCGACTATTGAGTGGCCTCAAAATTTGGAAGGTGGTATATTTGACATTCACCCGAAATATCAATTATGAGTGTGTGTAGACTAGCAAATGGAAAGTGTATATATAATACATTCTATTTCACAAGTATAATTTTGGTATTACAATGAAATAGGATTTGGAGAATAGTGGAATAAAAAAATTAAAACAGCAAAAGCTTCTTTGATCATCACTGTCAACAAATATGATCATTGGTTTGGAAAATAATAAATAAAAGATAAACATGAAGTGGTTGTACGACACCACACACAGAGGTAATAAAAAGGATCAGTTCTTGGATGCAGATTGGAAGATAAAGAGTGCAGTTAAAACTCCCACCAACGCTGTTACGGCCAAGGCCACTGTCGGCAAAGGTGATGTGAGACCAAAATTCTGCCAATGGTATTAGGAAAAAAAA